CCTAGGAGTTCGCCAACTTCGGAGATACAGAGGCCGACGGAGAGCTGGGAACCTCAAACCGTTTAGGGTTTAGGGTTTAGGGTTTAAGGTTTAGGGTTTAGGGTTTAGGGCTAAACCCTAAGCCCGAAGCCCCACTTCGCTTTCCACGCAGCCGTGTGAAGACGTCGGAGGTCGGGGCATCGTGGTAGCCCTGTGGCTCACAGGGGTCTACAGAGCTTCGGGTCTCCGGTCCGGTGTCCAGGGCTTCAGGTTTAGGGTTTAGGGTTTAGGGTTTAGGGTTTAGGGTTTAGGGTTTAGGGTTTAGGGTTTTGGGTGTAGGGTTTAGGGTGTCGGGTCCGGGGTCCAGGGTTTTGGGGTTCAGGGTCCAGTGCTTCGCGCTTACAGCGTTCGAGGTGTTGGTTTAGGGTTGAGTCCCCATTATGTCCGGAAGTGAATCCTCGTCGATGGCAGCTTTGAGTGCGTGCTCGAATAATCAGAACCTGCAAAACTACGGGTTTTGGTGGGTTAAGGCAAGCCTTAAGCCCTAAACCCATATAGAACCCTGAGCGCCAAACCCTACACCCTGAGCCCTAAACCCCTAAACCCTAAACCCTAGACCCTCAACCCCTAAACCCTAAGCCCTTAACCGCTAAACCCCTAAACCCTAAACCCAAACCCCTAAACCCCGAAACCACTAAACCCCTAAACCCCTAAACCCCTAAAACCTAAGCCCCTAAACGCCGGGGACCTTCTCCTTCAGGATCGCTCGGATCGTCGCCGTCGCAGGAAGCTCTGGGGGGCCTTCCCGAACGGAGCTTAGGGTTTAGGGTTTAGGGTTTAGGGTTTAGGGTTTAGGGTTGTAGGGGCCTTAATGATGAGAATGGGGTTTTGGGGCCCATTATGCCATAAGTATACTAAGGAACCCCTAGAGTCGTATAGGTAATTATTTAGGCCCCTATAGTCAGTGACTTAGGAGTTCCGGGCCTTTTAAGGCTTAGAGAGTTTAGGGCTGAGTTTTTGAGGCTTAGGGTTTAGGGTCTGGGGTTCAGGGCTTTAGGGCTTTAGGGTTTAGGATTTAGGGCTGAGGGCTTTAAGGCTTTAGGGTTTTTTTGCCTAGGGTTTAGAACGTAGGGCCTGGGTTGAAGGGCTGAGGGCTTTTCCAGAAGTTGCAAGTGGGGTTTAGGGTTTAGGGTTTAGGGTTCAGGGTTCAGGGTTTAGGGTTTAGGGTTTAGGGTTTAGGGTTTAGGGTTTAGAGCTTTCACACGAGCCTTAAAAGCTACAAGTTACAAGTGTCAGATTTCTTGGACGGGTCCCTAAACCCAACCCCTACACCCCAAAACCCTATACTCCCAGACCCTAAACCCCTAAAGCCTTAAAACCCTAAAAACCCTAAAACCCTAAACCCCAAACCCTTAAAACCTCAAAGCCCTAAAACCTCAAAATCCTAAAGCCAGCAACCCGAAGCCCCTAAACCCCAAAGCCCCTACGTGGAGGGTCTGGAGACTTGTTGAAGGATCTGGGGGGGGGTTCAGGAGCGCTAAGGGCTCAGGATCTGCAACGGGTAGGAAGTCTTCGCGATCCGCCTTGTAGGGTTTAGGGCTTCGGGTTTAGGGCTTCGGGTCTAGGGTTCCGGGTTTCGGGGTTTAGGGTTCAGGGTTTAGAGTTCAGGGTTTAGGGTTTAGGATTCTGGGCTCAAGGTCTATATGGGGGTAAGGGTTCTGATTCTTTCCTCAGAAGGAAGCTCCATGCATGTCACGTCCTCTCATCCGGAGCACTGAAAAAAGCCATCTGAGCCCTAAACCCCAAACCCTAAACCCTGAACCCTAACGCTACCCAAACCCTAAAGCCCTGATTTGGGAGATGTCAGCACCACAAGCCCGTCTCTGGATCGGAGGTTTTGCAGCTTCCGGGTTCGGGACGGCTGTGCGTTTCCGATGCAGGCCGGAAAAACTGGTCTCTGGCTGCCAGGGGGCCTTTTAGGGTTTAGGGTTTAGGGTTCGGGATTTAGCGTTTAGGGTTTAGGGTTTAGGGTTTAGGGTTCAGGGTTTGGGGTTTGGGGTTTAGGGTTTAGGGTTTAGGGGGCCTTATACCGTAGATATGGCTGGGAACTCTCAGGATAGTAGTTCGAATTCCTCAGGCCCCCGATTCGCAGGAGTGCTAGTGAACTCAAGACCCACACCTCAGGCCGGGCTTAGGGTTTAGGGTTTACACTCCCCAACCTGGAATTCCAACCCGATGCAATCACATCGACACCTTCCCAAAATCCTCCACAACCCTAAACCCACCCCCTAAAACCCTAAACCCTAGACCCTACACCCTAAACCCTACACCCTAAACCCTAACCCTAAACCCTAAACCCTAAACCCTACACCCTAAACCCTAAACTCTCCACTCTAAACACGAAAACCTCGGGTTTTCCATCTTATCCAGAAATTCAGGGTTTAGAGTTTACAGGCTAGGGTTGCGATTTAGGGGTTTAGGGTTTAGGGTTTAAGGTTTAGGGTTTAGGGGCTAGGGTTAGTTGCAATCCTTCTGCTCATTCTGCCAGCAAAAGAAGCCTAAACCCCAAGCCCCAAACCCTAAGCCTTCACCCTAAACCCTAAACCCTAAACCCTAAACCCAAAACCCCTAAACCCTAAACCCTAAACCCCAAACCCTAAGCCTTCAACCCGAGAGAAGCCTCCGAATTGCAAGAAGTTGTCCGCTTCGTCGAAGTTTGCCAGGCTGCCATCGAAGGCGCTGGCGCTCTTGGTGGTCAGGTTCTCAGACCTCGCTTCGAATCCCCGGTTTTTACTGGTTTAGGGTTTAGAGTTTAGGGTTTAGGGTTCAGGGTTTAGGGTTTAGGGTTTAGGGTTTAGGGTTTGGCCCATAAACACCTATGCAAACACTCCTGAGCAAAATCCTGATGAACCAAACCCGGATGTCCCGAAGCCTTACCCCTATACCCTGAACTCCACACCCTAAGCTCTACGCCCTATCCGAAACCCTGAACCCTCAAACAGGTTCTGGGTTCAGTGTTCAAGGTTCAGGGGTCCAGGCCTTAGGGTTTAGGTTCCGGGATTAGAGCTTCGGGTTTGGTTTAGGGTTTAGGGTCTAGGGTTCAGGGTTTAGGGTTTAGGGAGTGGAAGGCTGGCTGTCAATTGGGGTTACAAGCGCAGTTTAAAACTAGGCCAAATTTGCCAAGTAGGCCCAAGGCCTCCATAGCCCGAAACATACTGTATGCAGCAGCTGCACCCTTGTTACAAGCACCGCTACGGTTGATGATATAAGTCCTGCATTACCTCAAGGACCCTAAACTAAGGGAATTATGGTATCTTGCTTATTCTAGGGGGGGTAATGCAGGATTTATACCATCAACAGGGTTTAGGGTTTAGGGTTTAGGCAGTAAAAACCAAAAAGGGCTCAGACCGGAAATCTTGGTGCGTGGGACTTAGGGGCAAGATCTCCGCATGTCAAGGTTTGAGGACGGAAAACCCCTGACACCGGTGATGATGTAGGGGCCTTAGCAATTGGAATAGGGTTCCTTTAAGGGTTCCTTTAAAGGGGCTACTAAAAGGGCCACTATAAGGGTTTAGGGTGTAGGGGCCTTAGCAATTGGAATAGGGTTCTGGGGTATCTTCTATTCCGGAAAGTAAAAGGAACACCCAAACTAGTGTTGGCGATTATTTAGGCCCCCTATATTGCTTAGATTTACGGGGTTTGCATCGGACGGATCACCCTAAACACTAAACCCTAAACCCTAACCCCCCTAATCCCTAAACCCTAAACCCAAACCCCCTAGCCTAAACCCTAGACCCTAGACTGTAGGTTCTACAGTGCGCCTTTCATTCTCGTGAGCTC